TCCCCAAAACCCCAAAACCCCAGAGAGTATAAGAAAAGCAATTATTAAGGATTGAATACATTATTAATAGATTAATTAATAGACAAGAAAACGGAGTGTGAATCTCAGGTGTTGATAAAACTTATTATTGATAATTATAATTTTACTAGGAATATCGAAATCCTAAAATATAAAATGAATAAAAAGGATAATCGTCGATAAAGCAACACTTAAAAACCTAAGAGAATTTCGAAAAATAAGATTGAATATGACAGGACTAAACTCAATCTACAGTATAGTACTGACAGATTGCAATTCCCGTTAAGAGATGATGGCTTGTTATAGTTGTAGGAAAATTAAATAGAAGAATAAAAGCAGCTTGCTAAATCTTGATCAATGGAACCACTCAAGCTCTACCAAATTACCAGTATGCAAAAGATTCTTGATATTGTCGAGAGGAGATCGGATGAAAAAGAAAAATTTAAGGAAACCTTGAAAGAATAGCGAGCTGTTCTAATGAAAACCATAGAAAGCATCATAATGCAGGCAAAGAAAAACAGTATTTCCTCATTGCAATTAGAGTCACTGCTTTCTGATGTCAAGCAAGGGGGTGAACCTGATTTTGGATTTATTAACGAGCTAAAATTTGGAGATGAGAGAATTGGATGGTAGCTGTTTTGTGGAATCATCACCCCATATCCAAAATACTAGAAACTTGCTAAATATATCTAAGAGTATCAAGAATAAAAAGAATTAGAACTTTAACTGTATGAAAAACGATTTAGACAGAAAAACAAAGGATCTTCTACTCATCTTAAAATGAACATATTTCGAAAAAATATAAGCATGCTCAGCAAGCCTTTGATTAGGCCGACACCTACATAAGACACACTCTAAGTAAATAGTAATAAAAATGCGAACCCTATAGTATGGAAGCGAACTATCTCCTTTGCAGATGAGGTTGCTATGAATAGAATGGTACATAGTTAGCAACCATCATTCAAAATAATGGAGAGCGCATCATCTCCCGTCAAAACAAGAAAAAAGCAAAGATCGATTGTCCAAAAACAACTTGACATGAAGTAGACATCTATATTAGAGAAATATAAGCAGTTAAGGACAGAGGCTGAAGATCTTAATAAAGAGTTCTAGAAGCATTGTGAGCTCGTATAAAAGATTAAAATTAATAAGTTTGACAATTTCTATCTCAATTTTGAAGGAGAGAAGAAACCAAGCATTTCTCATTCAATGACCACTCCAACAACACCAACTGTCAGGAAGATTCAAAGCCAAAGTCAAAAATTAAAAGATCCTAAGGGAAATTTATCGCCTAGAAAAGAATAGAATCCGATCATGAATTATAACATCTTTAACCGCATTCTGGCCAAAATTTCAAATGATGAACTATAAAATCCTTTGATTCAGTAAAGGGTGTTTTAGTAATTTGCGAACTATCTCGAGAAGAATTTCAAGAGTTAAAGCAGAGACATGTTCAACGCTGAGGTTGAAAGGATAAAAACCTCTTTTAAAAATAAAGGAATAGAACCTACAATATTTGACTCATTTGTCAGCAAGATATAACTTGACCCCCCTCCGTTACCTAGGCCTCAAATGAATCAGAGATTATCAAAAGATATAAAAATAAAAATTATAAAAAACTAAGACGATGATGTTTTCAATTTCAAGAGAATCTCATCTAAAATGAATGGGGAGTCTAGTATAAGAAGTAGTAAAAATCCATTTTAAAGGAAAATAACAAAGAGATAGTAGTCTGGGGAAAATCGATACTCAGTGATTACATTTAATGGTTTAGCAGCAACTCCATTAGCATAAAATGATAAAACCAATACTTATGTTAGCTAATAAGATAAACCAGCACATAAGGACTCTAATTCAATCACTATTCATACTTAAAGATCGAAAATGGATTATTTAGAAGTCTCTAACATGGACTTCTAAAATATGGTAAATCTTAGGAAATTTTCTCAATTCGCTTACTAGACTGACCTCAGAATTTCTACTACATCAAATAGTGAATTTCCTGAAGACTAGTAAAAATCAGATAATTTTTTTGAAAATTATCCTAAAAAAGTATTAATAAGTCAAGCAAATTCTAAGTTCAAACTAACGAATTTGATTTTTAGATTGAAAAATATTAAGAAAAAATTGAAAGTTAAATGCGAGTTATATTTAGAAAATTAAAAGCATCCAGAAATTAAAAAGTTGATATTTACAAAGAATTTGATAAAAATGCTAAAGTCATAGAAACTTGAATTAGATGAAAAATTTCGAAGGAAATTTATCAAGTTCAACATGGAGAGTGTTCTTGAGGAAATAGATGAATTAAAAAGGTTTATCAAGCCAATTATAAAACTTTCAAATTAAAAAGTTGAAGCTACAGAAAAGTTATTTCAATAGACTTTTAACTCTAGGATGCCTAAAAATCTCAAAGATATGATTAGATCAAAGACACCATTATTTGAAACAACTTTCAAGGCTAATAGTACTTAGAGATAAGACTATTTATAAAAATTAGAAAGAAAACTAGAAAAACTAAAATCAACAACCTATTAAAATAATTTAACCTATTTTTAAGAGAATCAGAGAGCCAATACAACGTTCGAACATAAAAATGTCTAAAGTTCTTTCGGAAGTAATAATGCTACAAACTAGACTATTATTTTGCCAATTGCCGCTGATAATCAGTAATTTAGATGCAAGACTCCATAAAGGATAAGAAATCAAATTTTTAAAACTTAACAAAATAGTCCACTGATGACAATGAAACTAAACTATGCTAACTAGAAAATGCCTGATATATAAATTAACAGTGTTGATATACAATTGCATCTTAAACATTAGCCTAAGATAAATTCTCATCCTGTGAAAGCAAGGCCCATATCCTCAACAGAAAATTCAATGAGCAAACTTCTAACATAAGATAAATATACTGAGTCAAGTGCTACTAGAGTTACAAGAGAGGATGCAAACACGAATAAAAATCATGCATCATTTGATGGTAAATCAATGTTTAGAACTACTGATTATGATATTAGTCCTTCTTTGACTAAGTAACATGCGTCTTTTGGTTAAGCTTTTGATTAATTTTCTAAATTCAAAAAGTAAAAGAGTAAATTCTAGAGTAGACCAAGTGACCCCAAATACTTCTTAAAGCTAGTTGAAAAGATCTCTTAAAATTAAGAAAGTGGCTACAATGATTTTAGTAGTTAAAGGAAGGGTCTCTAAAGTTCAAAGAAATCTTTTAACTCTTCTTTCACTAATTGTTACAATCCAGCTAGTAACACCATGCTATGAGATTAAGTGCTATTAAAGTTATCTATTTAACCTCATGTCTTAATAGTTATGAAACCTATTATCTTAACACTCCTTCAAATTTAAGACTTTAATATTTACTAGATTTTATTTCATTAATAAAAGTAATAATTTTAAGATTAAGTTTATATTTGATCAAATCAGAAATCAGTTACTCATTCATGGTGCAACTAAATTCATTCAATGAGTTTGATGTCATCTTGGAGAAATCCCGATTCTTAATGAAGGTTTTTTTCTCTCTTTTAAGTTGTTTTCGTTGGATCAAACTCACTGAAGAAAATAGGGGAAAGACTCTCAAGTATAAGGTCTCTATTTTCAATAGATTTCTTAGCATCTTTAATACCAAGGTCATAAAGATAATCGATCTCTCTGCCATTATAGTCAAATGGATGATTCTTAGAAGCAACATCTTCTGAAGGTCCTGAAATGTATCTGAACTCCATTTTAGGATGAGATTGCTTAGACCTAATTACCCCATAAAGCATCTCGTATTTAGATTAGAGTTAGATTGCTCTACCAAGATTTTAAAATCCATTGTTCAATTTAGCCATCTGATGGGGAATGATTGGATCTATAGAAAGAACAACATCAATTACTATTCTCTCCTCTTTATAACCAAGCTTTTCACATCTTAAAATAGCTGAATTAAGATCAGCCTCATAAACAGTGCTACCACCTTAATAATTGGATGATATGAAAAAAATCATTACTTAACCATAGTGCATCAAATTCATCTACTAGTTCTGAGACACCAGGATATGTTATAGAAGCATGCAATACCTTCAATAGATCACTAAAAGTCTGATTTTCATTGAAAACTCTGAAATGCCCTATAATAAATATTATTTTTATCAAGCCCTACCATCAAGTATGTTAGTTATTCCTATGCTAAATCCTTTGTTGAAAGGTTTGTTTTGAATGAATTTTGATAGAATTTAGCTGATTCCTGTGCTTTCATAGAGACTATCTTCAAAGAACAGACTGTATAAGAAGCCTGTGCTTCTCTCTGAATAATGGTTCTTTTCTGCTGCATGCTTCCAAAAGTTTTCTAAAGAATGTAATGAGGAAATTATCTCCTTACTGATTTCATCTAATGATAAATTTTTGTTTGAATCGTTCTGCTGAGCAAATAGGAAGGCATTTATGCCACCAACTCCAACTCCTGAGATAAAATTATAAGTTTAATTAATTTCTAGCATTGCCTTGGTATAATGAGAGAGTACTCCAGCTTGATAAGGACCTAGGTCGATACCATCACTCAAAACAAGCCCATAGCACTTATCTAATTTGGCTGGTTTATCATGATATTCTGGCTTTTTTTCATTCTTAGCATTCATAAATCCAAGTAATGATAAGGAGGCTATTAAAATAGATGCTAATTTTGCTTTCATTTCTTTCCAAAAATTATTAATAATTTATAAATAGCAGATACAATATGAAGGGGTTTTGGGGTTTTGGGGTTTTGGGG